TGTAGACATTAGCTTTTCCAAATGAATCATTACATTTATAAAAATAGCTACTTAATAGTTCATTAACTGAGAGCACCGACAAAGCTCTTTAGTGCAAATAACCCTTCTGATACGTTTTCTGAACAACAGCCTTTGTCTCAGAATATGAAAGAAACGCCATTAAACCATTTTGTAAATTATCAGCATTTTGACAAATTTTGAGTAAAACTGATGTAATTCATTTTAAAGCCAGGATAGTCTAATCTTCATTTAATTTCTTCACTACCGTTTCCCCTCTGTGAACAGAGACTATTCCCAGTATTAATAAGAAATCCCCAAAAGAATCCACCACTAAGTTTTGTAACATTAAATACATCTGTATGCATAACACATTTTCAATCCAATTTGCACGTTACAGAACTTAGTAGTTGGGTGTATCAATAAAAAAACTCCACAACAAACCAAAACCCCAAAAAATCCAAACCCCAAACTATGTACCCCACAAAATCCAGCAGCTAAATCAACATCACCTTTTCAGCATTCAGCCTTAAGATACTAAGATGAATGAAGAAACTAGTAAACCCAGAACTATATTTCTTATACTGCCTGTATACCTTCACATCCATTTGTCAAGGTGAAGTTTCCAGTGTTTAGACACATCAGAATTAGAAATTTTTGAGGCATCCACAATGAAAAAAGACACTTTCAAGTACATGCAACATATAGCATGACATTTTCATTGTATTCAGTAACGTCTGGATGTTTTCCCGAAGTTTATTTTCACACAGCCATGTAAGTATTAGTCTTATAAAATAATATAACCGTGAATTGGATTGGTAGTGATGCCTCCGAGATCACATTTTCAGATTCAAAAGGATAACTATCTGGATATTTGTGGTTTGAAATCCTGTCCATTTGATCCACTTACGCCTCCTGCTACAGGATAAAAATAACCAAAGAGAGCAGAAGTAAAAAGGTTGACACCAAAATTACCATGTTACATGTGTTGTGTCTGGCAGTTTGCTAATTTTTGAGAACACAGTTTGCCTAGAAACGTTCAGATCACTGTTTTAATTTTTGTCTTAGCCTTTTACCTTTAACACCAACTGGACATTCTAGAAATATGCTAAATAAAACAGGAATTCTGACAGGCAACATCTAAGACCAGCCCTATAAATATTAGCAATCATACCTCATGTCACTTACATCAGTGAGTATGTAACTACTTGTGAAACTACTGTCCTATGCAAAGGCACAAAGTAACTAAAGCATAGCTACTATGAAAAAAATAGCTAAGACCCAACAATGTTTTACTAAAATATAGACCAACATTCTTCTAATTAGTGAAAGAACAAGAAGTTTGAAATTCTATGAATGTTTATTTTATAGTGAACACTGAAAATGTTTAGCTGTTGGTAGTTACAAGCTGGCCAACAACTCAGAGCAAACTCCGTATCGCTTATACACCTGTACTGCCAGACAAACCTTTCTATAAAATTAATTGTCAGGAAAATTGTATTATGTTCCCTAACATCTCTCTCTGACAGGCAGAAAGAATTAAACTTATGCAGCAGTTTAATCCTGATGTTATGTGGAGATTTTTTTGTTGGCCTTATGAAAATCTAGATAAATTATGAACTGTTGAAGGCTTGTATTCTCTACACCTTTGTCCTTGACCATAATCGTTAGGGAACCTAGCAGCATCACATGTATCCAACTTTGCATACATACATGGTATGTCATATAAGCCTTTCTCCCAGAGGAATAGAGACTCTGTTCTCTACAATAGCTGCTTCCCCATGAGAATATCCTCCAGCCTACAAAAATATGCCTCAAAGTTAAGAAACAAACGATTAAAAAACAAGGGTTAAAAACTGAATGAAGTATGAAATCCCAGAGGGTTTGGGGTTTTTTTTCCCCTTTTGGTTTTTTTACTTCCGATGACTGTTGTCAGTTTTACTGCCTTCAATGTTGAGGAAGTATTTATTACTCAATCCCAACCCACAAAAGATAGCTTAAACAGCATTTCCAAGTGGCACAGACAAGCTTCAACCACTGAACTGCTGTGGTTGTTAAGACAAAATCTACATATTTTGCAATTCTAGACATATTTTTACAATACCATACATGTAAAATGGAATTATCCAAATATATCCACAAGACCAGACTATTATGTAGCTTCCTCTAGTGGTCAGTCTCTAAATCTTGTTTCTTCTGCTATTTACTGTAGTTAATTTCATATGCAAATACTGAAATTCTGTGTTCTAATGTTGTAAATTTGGGAAGGCATTAGAGTTTATACTTCAGCTCTCTAATACAAAAGCCAAGGAAACCAAGCCAAAACATACAACGGAACATTTGTTACTGATATCAAAAGGACAAGCAGTGAAGTCAGCAAAAACCAGAGTTGGTATTTTAGTATTCTGATTCTCCCCCCTGTGAATATGCATTATAGTATATTTAGTTACTAGGTCAAACATGACTTTCCCACCACAAGACTCAGGAAGCAAGACAGATGTTCAGCTTTTAGTTGAGTCTTCAGATATTTGCTGTGAATCATCCAAACTTTGTTTTGACCCTGGAATTAGTGTGTGAGAGTGTGTGTGTGTGTGTTTTAACAAGGCTTGTCACTGTAAAATAGGTTTGCTTCTGCAATACTCCTTTAAGTCAAAGAGTAATTAAAAGGGCGTAGCAAAGCATTCACCAAATTTGAAGGCCACTGAAACCAGATGACAATTTGATAACATCACTAAACACCACAACAAAAAACAAGGGACCTCTAAGATAAGGGATTGGAAATGAATAGACTGAAGTTTTATACTGAGCATCAGAAATATTTCTTTACAGGTTTAAGTCATTAAGAAAGAAGAGGGAAAACCCAAATGTAGAAAGTGACAACTGCCCATTACAAAATGTGTTACACTGAACAATCCAACTCAGAGTGCCATTATAACGTAACAGCCAACTCTGACTCAAAATTAAAATAAGGTAGAGTTAGTAATCTGCTCAGATGATCAAACTGAAAATAACCACAAGGATTATTTAACTTGTACAGCTAGTACAAAATGATATCACTCGTGCAGTTTGAAAACTGCTTTAAAATTTGAGAACCAGTAACTTTGGTTATAAGGTTATTGTGTGAAACAGAGGCAGTAACTTTCATGTCTAGCTGAACACCTTCCACTGCCTGAGATTCCTTATTGCCTTCTTACACTAATAACCGTAACTTCCTGCATCTTGTTTTGCCTTTGCACTTCCCCACACTCTGGAACAAAAGAAATGCCCCCCAAACTTCCCCCCCCATCCCCCTTAAAGCGCTTAAAATTCCATTCGGCTTTGACAAAGACATTAAGTCCTCAAAATTGATATCAACGTTTATTCATTTATACACTGCCAGTGCAACAATGACTGATGAAACATATAACGAAGCAGAAACTTTTTAATCGAAGGCCAGGGACTAATTATTTTCAAAACACTACTGCATATTCCCCTAGGGATCCTATAGTCAAGCCCAACAAAACTAACCTCACCAACACCCTGAACTGCTCATCCCGCCATTGCAGAGGCTCATGAGGAGCTTCCACACACTTGTAACAAAGAAAAAAGGGGGAAAAAAAAAAAGAAAAAAGAAAAAAAAAAAGAAAAAGAGAAGGAAAAACACATGACCAAATAACTGACTTTACATTTCTTTCCCTCTCTTCAGTATATTAGCCTCTGTGACACCAGCTAATGCAGTTTGCCCTAGCATTCATGCTGTGATTTGCCCCTTTGTGCCTAGTATTTTAGGAACATGCTCACTGCTTCAAAACAGAGGCCCCTCAAATTATTCAGTGCAATGCTTACTATAAGGGTATCTCCGCAGTTAAAATACCTGGCACTACGAATCCCTCTGCTGTCAGTATCTGCCTGCCCTCATTCATTTCTACAGCTGGAATCAGCTGGAAAGCATCTAACTTGTCCCCAGGAGAGCAAGCAGTGAGGGATTTACAGCACGGTAACTAACCTCAGGTCTCGAGTTTGCTTATTCCCTGGCATACCATTACATCCTTGGGGAAAGATAACACAGCTGACAAAAAAGTGTCACAGCCCCTTAACATAAATAATATCTGTTCAATTTGGGGGTGTGCTGCCAACTGTGTTTATGTTCTTGGCTTGCTTTCAGCACATTTTTAAGGCTGTGGACTTTGTTAGAAGAGTAAGGAAGGAGAAAGATTCAGCCAGATATCTTCTCAGAAAAAGGTCTGTGCCTGTTCCTCATCACTCTAATGGCATTTTGCCATTACAGCAAATGAATATGCAGTGATGTTTGGGTAGCAACATAAGAGCCTAATAAATAAAACATGAAAGTTGAAGTAGAGAAAATTCAATAAAATTTCATGCGTGCTTTTCATTTTTCATGCTAAGGATCAGAATATTAAGGACGTTTCAGTGCCCAATTCTGCATTAAGTATTAAAGTCACTCATCATTCCTTGTATTCCACTGGAATTAGAAACTCCAACCAAAACCCATCATGTCAGAGACAGTACAAACAGTAAGTCAACAGAGCAATATCATACTTATGTATAAGTGATAATTAAGTGTCTCTAATGAAATGGTTACATTCTAAACAGACAAGACAAAGTAAGTAGAAAGATACCTGTTTTGACAGCATGGAATTGAAGGTACAGGGGAGCCAGAGACTACTCTTCCTACGCACATTCTAGGGTTCAGCACGCTTAGAAGTTTTAGAATTAATATAGTTCTAGGAAGAATGGGTTTGATATTATTTCTAACACATCAGAATATTTCAATTTTAGGATTGTCTGTTAACTGCTTAGTTGCTGTCAGGGTAAATATCAATAAAAAAACCCTTATAGAATACACACAGAACATGAAAAGAAATGGTCAGTGTATGTGTATTGCTTACAGCTTTAAAAAGAAAAGCAGATATTCTTTGCCTTATCTCTCCACACTAAGTTTTAAGCCGAAGAAGTGCTGAATTTTTTGTGCAAACGTTCACTTTAAACAATATACAACTTACGCATTTCCTCAATGACATCTGGGTCACATTCTCTGTATTTGTCTATTTCTGCCTTTAGCTGCTCTTTTTTCTGTCGAAGGGCAGCAAGTTCCTTTATTAGAGCTGCACGTTCTGCCTGAGGATTTGAAATATGTTGGGAGATACAAAATAAAAATCAGTAATTATTGCACAGAACATTTAAAAAAAAAAAAAAAAAAAAAAAAAAAGAAAAGCTAAATGTGAAAGTTCTTTCATTACTGCTTTCTGACAATGAACCAAACTGGAACCAAAACCAACTAAGGACAAAATGGATAAACAAAATTCTTTTACAACCTCTGAACTCTTGACAAACTCCAAACAGATCTCTTAATTGTTTGGCTTAAAGGTTACATGGTATTTAGGAGTGCTAGTCTTGTAATTAAAAACAGCATTACAGAAAACCCTATCATTCACATTTTCCCAAATCAGGATGCTGTGTATGAACACCCTTTTGAATTTATTATTCACTTTTTTCCACACCATTTAAGAGTAGTGGTCTCAAAAATAACTTCAGATATTTATGACACACTAGTCCTTGCTGGGAGAGTATAAAATATCAACCTCAAATACTCTATTGATCAATAAGAATCTGCAGACACTGACTCAACGTGAGCTCTACCATAGCCAACTCAGCACATACTTGTAATTCAGTCCGTAGTTACAAGAAAACATCGTAACTGGCTGATACTCAAAAGAACTCACGTTAGGGCACTGGGTAGCCTAGAAAAGCCAGGTTGCCACTACAAACTCACACTGTCTCCACAGCAGCCATCACTCTCAGGTGCTTTTCTGTTTGTTTTTGGTGTGTCCTCCACCCCCGCCCAAACTTCTGTATTCTCAGTGTTTTTGCCAACAGTCTGGATTCAGCATGTCCTGAAAATGCAGATTGGAAATCTGCTCCCAGATGCTGGGGTATGGAGGCCAGCTCCTCAGAGGCTTAAATCACAATGTAGATTTTTCAGGACTTCTTCCTGGTGTATAATCTGGAACTAAAATGTTGGAAGCATCAACCGGAACAGGATTTCCAGGACCAGTAGCTTCTTGTGATGAGGGTAGGCCACATGGTAAAGAAACTCACATCTCAAACAGTACATTTGGAAACCGGACAAGCACAACTGCAGGAGAAACCTGCCTGCAATTCCCCAGTTACAGTCAAACCCAGAGCATTTCTATATAGCATTTTGGATTTTAAGGTTTGGCACTTTCCTGCAAAATCTAATTCCTCCTGAAAGCCCCTAGCTATCTCTATTTATCCATTTATTTACTGAAGGTTTAAACCCCTTTAGACTCAACATCTCTAAACAAATGAACACCTTAGAATACCGTATGTAGTGTTGCTAACTACTATGCTACTAAATATGTATGGTAAATATGAAGCATAAATATTATTTTGCAGTGTTAACAGCTTCAGCATGCAAAGAGTGCCAAGGTTGCATGGCTGCTCAGAACAGTAATTCAGAAATATAGTTTATAAGACAAAAGCCAAACCAAACTGAAGAAAAAAAAAAAGGTCTCCAACACCTAAGTTTGCAGTTACTTGATTTGGCAGTTCAGCAACCATTGGCAGCCTTGGCACATACCTCTGGGTAGTTCAAGATTTTAGATTTAAAGCTATCTTAAAAAGCCTGGAAGATTACCAGACTTCAGGCAGTCACATGTTTTCTCTGCCCTGGAGCAGCCAGTTGTCAATATTTTACACATTAGCACATGACCAACTAAGGAAAAAATCTAATATCTGATTTTTTTTTGTCCCTGTCTCATCTCCACTATTTAGAATTCTTAATGGATTTCCAACAAGTACATTAGTATTTATAAACCATGCATGCTTGTAGCCCTATTTCCTGGCAGGAATGTCTCCCCCGCCAAAGCAACTTACAGTATCTTCACGTCCAACTTTTGACTTCTCAATGCTTTTTTGTAAAGCCTCTTTTTTCTGATTGCTTTCAGCAAACTGGAAAGGAAACAAAGAACAAAATTTACCTATTTCAGTAACATATATTGAACATACCTATAAAACATGTATACATAGCAATATATTTAAATAAATTGGTGAATATGCATTTTTATATAAATTTATATCTTTAACTTGTGTAATAAACACAAAATAAATACAAAATCAATCTAATTTAAGTCTGAGGATCTGAACCACAGAAATGAATTACAGGAAGCAACTTGAAGTCTAAGAAATTTTCACTCCCACGGCACATCATCTTGTTATGTATTGCATGTTCAGCACGGGACCAAAATCCTATCTCATAATCTGGCATCTCTACACAAAGGACTCCATGACATGGAGGATTTGGATTATATGATTTCTTTTGGTCCTTTTCCAGCTCTCCTTATTCAATGGAAGCAGCGACAAAAGATGCAGCAGATCCACCTGCTCAGCTGCTGATACCAGTCTTCCCAACCATTGATATGCCATTGGCATGGCCCCAATCCCTTTTGCATACTGGTGAATAGAAGCCTCTATAGCTCAAAGGCATGTAAAGCCATGGCCCTCTTTTTCTGTGCTGCATTCAAGCTGCTAGACTTCAGAGTTCTCTTCCTTCAGGCCTGAAGCAGAGGAATCTCACAGAAGTTGCATCTCACAGGGCTGGTGTAAATACTCTTTCCATTTTCCTGTTATTCCAGGAGGAATCATTCATAGAGCAAGACGCCTCTCATCTACCTGCCACCCATCTTGAACCAGGCCCTTCCTGTTTAGTTCGAAGTTTTCTAGTGGAAACTCTTAAGATAAGCAGGATGTATAAGTCACCCCTTAGGGACACAATGCTCAGCATTAGCCAAAGCACCTTGAAATATTAAAAGAGATGAATGAGATTGCAGAAAAAGAAGTCTAATAAAATAGTCTAGAAACAAGTTACTGTATCTGAAACCAGCACAAAATAAAATTAAAAAAAAAAAAAAAAAAAAAAAAAAAAAAAGAAGAAACAACAGTATGCTTTGTAAGTACTCACTTCTTGGTTTAGCTTCAAGGCCTTCTGAGCACCAGTCAGGTAGAAGACTAATCATGAAGATGATGAAGATGGCTGTCAGAGCCTAGCTTTCATTCTGTCTTCCCTCCAAAATCCCTCACACAAAGCCTCTACTTCTAATTCCCTTTTTCACTAAGGATCTCTCAGAGTTAAAAAGCGTTCCTTTAACATTTCTTGCAATTCCTAGCCTTGATAATTTAACCATATCATTTATATTCTTGTGCAGCTGAAGCACCATGACCACATTCATACAAAGCAAACAGAACTGCTTAGGAGCTATAATCACTTCTCAATTTCTGTTAAAGCTCATACTTAGTCTGTATTTTTCAGAAATACATACTAAAATGTAAATGCATGACAAATACCAGGCAGAGCGTACTGCCAAGTCTTACGGATCAGCCATAACAGTAAAAAGAAACTCTGTACTGGTGGTTCATATTGATTAGGACACTGCCCAGCTGCAGCTTGCTGGGTTTAGGGGTTCCTTTTATATAGCTCAATTTTTAAACATTAATTACACTTTCTGGATAAGTACGTATTAATGCATGCACAAGCACACATGCAGACAGGGAGGTCTCCTTTCAAAAAGGATGTTTTGGTTTTTCTTCAACTTATATAGAAATTATAGTAATGGTAAGGATATATAATTTGGGGGAAAGTATGTCCAGCTGTTCACTCATTGCTCTCAATGCAAGTAACCACAGAGACAGTGTGGGTTCCAGTATGTGGCCTGAAGTACACCAACACCTTAATTTTGTGGATAGTAAAACAGTACTTCTTCAGAGATTTCCACAAAATTCTTAAAGATTTAAGTGTGTTAGTCCCCACATGATGCCATACTACAGAGAAGCATATTTACAGTTCAGAAAAGGACAAGTACTTAGGTGCAGTTTGCAGTTCATGAAGCCCCAGGAAGACAAACACTAGAGCAGACGTGGTTCAGTATCTCTGAATAAATAATTTTTCTTGCAGAGGAAGCAGAGAAACCAAGGAGCTTATCTAGGCCCATATACAGCAAGTACAAAGAGTAAGCCAATGCTTTCTGCAAGGAAGGCCATAAACGTGTTGCTTTCTATGCTTTTTTCATATTCATGAAGTTATTTACGAGTGTATCTGCATTTTATAAAATGGAAGCACAGAATGAGCTCTCAGGGAACTGCACTAAAGTCGTAATAGCTGGTTTCCAGCTTGGAAGCATGTTTCCCAGTATGACATCTTACTATTTTATGGGTCCTCTATATTCCACAGCATTTAATCACGAAACAGACAGCACGACAAACAGTAAGAACTACAGAAATTTCTTAGATTCTAACCTACGCAACATGCAAGGTTGCCATGCCACGAGGTTAGAAGAGTAGAATATCTTCCTCTGTCTAAAGGCAAGGATGGCTTTTATACAGTTTAATTTAACATTTTGTTTTCTTCTCTCACAGATTTTAATTTTTGGTTAGGTTTTTTGTTTCTTTTATTCTGTCTTCATAATCAAGGCTTTACAAAATAAAATGAAACCACAGCTCTTTGTGTATTATTTAGAAGTCACGGTGGGTATTCCCATGACAACAAATAAAAGATGAGGGTAAGGAAAGGAACAGCAGAAGGAGGCAAGATATTGAAAAAAACAAACACAGGACAAGGATGCAAAGGCAAAGGAACAGATGGCCAGGCTCTGTGCAAGGAATCTATAACGATGGCAGAAGCAGGAAGCTTTGAATACAGAGGTGGGAACAAAGCTGAAAATAACTGTACATGAAAGAAGAGAAGACCATCAGCAAGGATAAAGGAATCTGAGGAAGGATGAATAGAAATGATACAATACTTAATTGACAGGTAAGGACAAATGGCAGATGACAGGTTATAGGGCATTAAAAGAAAAAAAGAAAGACAGAATTTGCAAGTGTTGTGCATGTATGACAGCACAGGATCGCATCTGGCCAAATACAGTGACTTACTTTCCTCACTCACCAGCTGCAGAAAAGCCTGACTGCAAAGGTACACACAGTAGCAGATGGAAGATTCCAATCCCTGGGGCAATCTTAGGACATTTTTCAAGGGAATTGGCAAATTATTTCTCAAAGAACATTAACCACCCTACGAGAAATCTGACTCCTGCCAATAGCAGTGGGATTGATCTGGAGAAAAAGACACTGTCTCCCTTCTATGTTTCTTAAGAGAGAGGTCTGGTCTGACACATGAACAACTTTGCCACGAATGTAACTCACCAAGTATGGAAAACAAGTACAAGGATAGACTCTTCTGTACTAGGAAGTTTCATGTCTGCAGTCTGACTGCTCCAAATCAGGACATGATAAAGCAAGATGCAGAAAGCTGGAAAAACGTCATCTATGGGAAAGCTGTTCAAAGGAGGAGGAGAGACTAGATAACTAGAAGTTAAAAAGTAGTGAAAAAAAACCCCCACAATCTCAACAAGAGCATTTGCACTGTTGGCAAAACATCCAAAACATGGTGGGAGCCTGCAAGAAGACAGTTTAATGAAGTAACTAAGTAGCATCTATAAAACAGGAAAGCTGGGAAACAGTTCCTTTAGTTTTACAGACCACTGCAGTCAGTTTACTGAACACTGGCCTAGCTTCAAAGCAAATTCAATCCTAAGTCCCCCAAAGAGATGTCCTTTCTTACACTGCAAAGGTCTCACAATGTATAGCTATACCTTTGTGCAGCAATTTGCGTGTGTTAAGTGCTATGTGCTGATGATAATCATCTGTTCCACCACTGGCCTCAGGGTCTGGTTTCTATCAAAGGATAGAGATTAGATGTACACAGATAATTTATAATATACTATGCACGCATTATTACTAGGATTTCACTTCGGCAAGTTGGTGATGTATATTTGGACGAGGAACATTTAACCCGGACACACAACAGCAGCAGGTTTCAGTTCTCTTCCTTCTCAAAACCTGCCTGATAGTGTCCTAGCTCTACATGACTGGATTTTAATTCTCCAGCAAGAGTTTTTGCTGGTCATATTCCTTCTGGTTCCTCATTCTTAACCACTCTAACCACCAACATCCCACCAAACATGTAGCTTGTCTGCCTAGCATGTTAAAGTATCTACAAACCTGGAGTAAGCCATGCAAATACAGACCGTAGAGTATGTACGCTGGACAAGAATCAAACCACGGTCTCTTATGCTAACCACCAAGAGCATTCACAGCTGTTAGCCCACTGTCATTATGGTCTTAAAGAGAAATATCATACACTCAGTTTTCTTTCAGCCAAAACACTCAACCAAAAATGGTATTACAAACTACTGCTATTGTGAGCACTACTCACCATGGCACTATAGAAGAATAACTCAAGACATTGATATTTTAATTGTTTATAGTTTTGCAGAGTTATTTACTTTGGGTTTGAAGCTCACTATACTTTGTCTCAGGCCAGAGGCAAGGGGTTGTTTGCTTTTAGGTTAAACAAAAGCAGTTTTAGGGTGACATTTGTAGTAGATGGGTGTATTTCTTTCCTATGTTAAACCTAACCCACCACTGAAAAACTTAAATAGAATTGACAGAGGCATGGAGAGAAAGTACTTCAAAGCATTCCTCTAGATTTTAAAGAAAGATAAAAAAATTCAAAGCCAGAAAGCAGACTAGTAATACAGAGTAAAAATGCAAAGATTAACAGCCATAGGACAATCTTAAAATATTGAAAACAGACCTGCAGCACTGAAAGAAAGGCATAGAACATTACTAAAAGAAATTGCTAAGCAATCTCTGTTGACTAAAACAATAAAACTTAAAAGAGAAAAAAAAGTGCAGCACAATGTGCAGAATTGCTTTATGAAGTACTACACAAAGTAAGCATACAACTACTGCTTCTACATGTAGAATCACAAATACATACTTGCCAGGACCTCCTAACTTCCAAGTTAGCTAACTGTGTTCACAGTGGAGTAGAGAGTACTACCATGAACTGCAGTATGGTCACTTCCACCCTGCTCTCAGGATGCCTGGATACC